GGGGGGGGGGGGGGAAATATACAACCTGGGACACACTAAATATCACGCAGAAAGCTTTGCGAACTGAAACTGTCCCGGTTTGGTCGGGGTTTATTTGATTTTCATTTTTTCCTGGGGTGATTTCACGAGGAAAGTTACTTTTCTCTCCAATATTTCCTCTCTCCTCTTCCGTGGCGCAATTCGCTGCGGTGGCAGCTCAAGTTGTTGTTTTCTTTTAAATTTTAAATCTCCGAGCAAGATTTGACGCCTTAAATACGACGGAATTGAAACCTTCGTGGTTATCGTGTCCTCCCCCCCAACTTCATGTTCTTTATTATTTTCTAAATCGTGTAGTAATTAAGCCCTGTAGGGTTTGTGGGTTTTTTTTCATCATTTTCCCCGGCGTGTTGCAGTGCTGGTGGCTGAACTCTGATTTTAGGTGAAGCGGCGGATCAGGGCAATGGCGAATAAATAAATAAAAAGGGAGATAGCCCGGAGTTTCAAGATCATTACGATTAGAAAGAGACGGGTTCAGAGTCATTCAAGGGAAAAACAAAAAGAAAACGCCACCTTTAAAAAAAAAAAAAAAAAGAGGGGGGGAAGAAAAAAAGAAAAAGGAGGGGGAAAAAAGAAAAAGAACGGGGGGAAGAAAAAGAAGGGGGGGAAAGAAAAAGAAGAGGGGGAAAAAAAGGAAAGGGAGCAAAAGCGTGGAACAAAACAGATAAAAAAAGTAGTACATTGGAGCAGAGAAAGTGGAACTTGACCGTTTGGGGTGATTTGTAACGGTTTAGAGCAAAGTCCTGCTTAAATATTCTCACGTCTGCAAACCTGTTTTCCCAAAGATTTTCAAAAGCGGGGCTGTAAAATTCCCCTCGACTTAACTTTCAAGAGCCTTGCGGGTCTTCTCGCCGCATCAAGTGGGACAAGATTCAATATCTTAGGCCGAAAAAGCCTAAAAGTGCATAATCCTATTTCGTGTGCCCCCTTCCCCAGCACAGTAAAAGCTTTCGTAGGCTTCAGACGCCATTTGGTTCCCCTGGAAAGCTATTTGCGACTTTATTGCCTCTATTTGTGTTATCTGCATAGGTCTTTTTAAAACAGTTTGATAGAAATCGTTCAGTTTTATGATATCCAACGAAAATTCCACATAATATTTATAAGCAAAGAATAAAACTTTAGTACGGGAGCCAATATTTTCTCATTTATAGGTGACGAAATTAAAGACCGATGCAATTTTGTATTATATTGCTGCTTTTTTTTTTTTTTCCCCCGGTTTGATCATTTTTTTCCCCCCTCTTCTACTTTTTTTTTGCAGCTGATGTGGCTGGCCGATAATTTATGCTGCTCAGTCAAACAGTTACACATGTGCATTTTTGGGGACACAAAAAATTTGACCTCATAGTTTCCTGTATTGTCTGCCTAAAGATTAAATATGTTTTCCTGATTTTTCTCGCCTATTGTCTGCCTAAAGATTAAATATGTTTTTCTGATTTTTCTCGCTCTGCATTCTGGTGTGTGCTTTTGTCGAAGGAGATGTGAAGGAGTTGCACGGAGCACATCGAACGTGACGCTAAATAATTTGAATTTGCTTCTCCGCAGAACCAGGCGCTTCGCAAGAGCATCTCGAGCAAACCTCCCCATCCAGGTTGCTGGAGAGAGAAAAAAAACGGTGCTGGAACCCCCATCTTTTATGAATGTGTAAATGTTGTGCGTGTAAAATAAAGATTTACGCCGTTCGCAGGCGTTTTGTTTACCAGTTTTTGCCAGCAGAAGGTACCGATGTAAACGTTTGAAGGGTTTCAAGCCTGTTCCGCGAGTTGCTAATCACCATCTTCGGGACCGAAGGGGGCTGAGTAAATATAAAATCAGATTGTTCATAAAAATACGACCTGGGTATATCTCGAAACTTCACCGTGATGGGTTTTTTTTGGCCACGGAGAAAGAAAGTTGACGTTGGGAAGCAGCACAGAGGCGTCTCCAGGAGACCGAATATTGTTTAAAGTTAAAAATAATTAGAAGTATGATAAACATGGGTCATTAATGGAAAGAGAAATAAAATTCATCAGCCTAAGTGGAACCCCCGTTGGGAAAAATGCTTTGCTCTAATTACAGAAAATAAATACGAACAAATGCTATTAAAACTTAAAAGGAGAGAGTCTACCCGTGGTAAGGACTTTAATAACCTACTTTGAATTTTACACACTTTTAGGGGAACCATATAGACGTCCGATGTTCATCCCCCGCCGCCGTCGGGCTGCCACCCCCCCGCGTTTCCATCCCCCGGGGCTCAACCTGGCCTTTTTGGGCCGGTTCAGGGGGTTTCGAGGCACCACAAAAAAAAAAAAAAGCGCGGGGTTTCGCCCTTCCTTTCACGGGTCCCTTTCTCCCGGGGGGGGGGGAACACGGACACGACGCCGTCTGTCCCCGCGTCCTCCCATTGTCCCCAGCGCCACAGCAGAGCAATTTGTCCTAAACCGTCCCCAAATCGGCGCTCGGGATGCCTGGGGGGGGGGGGTGGGGGGGGGGGGGAGGAAGATGCCAGAAAACCCCCTCTTCTGCCCATCACCCCGAGGAGTGTATAAATGTCTACAATTTCCAAGACAAAGCATGTCTCAGGCTTCCCCGGAATATTTTACCTGTCCCCTTTTCAATCTAATTATTTAACCGTGAGTTATGTGTAGAAAGCGCTTCTTATGCCCGTTGTATTTTTTACCAAGTTTTCTTACGTTTTTATGACAAACATTCATTTTCGCTTCGAGGAAGTATTTGGTAGCAACACTTTAATGATTACCTTAAATTTGTATTTCTGCCCGGTATTATGCCCCATGTTGTAGCGGAAATAATTCTGATTTATGACAAAGTACACTGGAGTACAATAACAGCGATGCAAAAATAAAACCCACGCCTTTATATGTTGGCTTAGAAACTGTAAACTATCACCACAAGAAATCTATCAAACTTTACAATCCCTCTTACCCTGCTTCCTTCTTTCTGAGTAACTTAAGTCAAAGAATTATGGAATGATATTATGTTCCTTGAGGTGGTATTGAAAACCGCGTTCAGGCTTTTCTACCCCCAACATAGCACCCGGGCGCTGGATGGAGTTTGGACCCTTCTCCTTTCCCTTTGATCACGAAGGCGAAATTTGGAAAGCGTAATTCATATATAGGCAAGAACAAGCAGGGTGACAGAGCGCAGCGATGTGACGCGGGGATTTTGGAGGGGTTTATTCAGTGCTGAAATGTTGCCTTCAGCTTTCCAACCGCGTTAACAAACTTAAATATTGCCCCCCTTCCCCCCGCCCAAGGAAAAAAAAAAAGAGGGGAAAAAAAACAACAAAAAAAAGAGAATTATTTCTGGCAGAGGTGGGGAAATCCGGGTGGGAGTTCTGGAAATGTGGCTTATTGCACGTTTGGAAAATTAAAGGTGGTTTGTTGTTTTGGGGGGTT